AAAGATTTTTAGCATAAACTATGCATACCTTCTTCAATAGGTTCATACTTCAAAATTATTTCTAAGGCAGTTGTTTCACAAGCTTCAGTTTCATATTGTTCGTTTCTGAGAAATTCAATCAGCTCGGTGTCAGCTAGAATTTTGCAGTTTGGAGAGTAAGCACGGAAAAGTTCAAGAAATTCAGGTCTGTGTACAATAGTTCGATAAATTGCCCTGAAGTCTTCTATATTAATTGTATGTGCCTTCCGTTTGTCAACTGTTTTCTGGAAAAAAAAAAAAGTCTAAACAATCAATTCAAAGATACACACAAAACACTCTAACTGATCAGAAGAGCGAGAACAATAGAGAAACGCCCAGGCAACAGTGACTGCAACGCATCATCAAATTATATTCTTCTACTTCTATGTGCAACTTTTAGATTTGACTTTGTGTGGTGAAAATATCTTACACAAATTAAAATGTACCATATGACGTAATTAGCATCTAATAATTACAATAAATTTCTATATAAAGTATATACAATATTAAAATACATTAAATAAAACCTCTAAAAATGCTATGCAGTAAAATAAATCTGCAGCATAAAAATTATCAAGTGGAAAATATATTTAATCTAATACCTCTCTAAAAGAGATTTAAACCATATTGTAAATACCATCAGTTAAATTTACATAAAACATACAGCAAACAGTAATCTAGAAAATGAAAGAAGAATGACCAAATTATCATGAGATCCAAGCTTTTCAATACATCAAATAAGAAGCACTATTAAAGACAGAGACATGATACTTTATAATAACCTATGACATCGTGTTCTATTCTTAACAAGCCAGAATGTTTAACTCAGATTAGTTATTCACACTTTCAGAATTCTTTAACTGTAAACTTGTTTTCATAGAGCTTACAAAATGTTAGCACGTTAATTAATTTCAGTGTTTCAGTATAAAATCCACTAGAAAAATTAAAATGGCAAAAGAACTGGAATAGAATAATACTGTTTTACTATTTCTGCCTTTTACTTTTTTTCTCAGGCTTAACAATTATATTTATGCTTTAAAAGTTTCTACATTAAATATGTAATTGTGTGTATGAAATATAGATGTTTCTAACAGTTTAGCTTGTATTATTCTTAACAGTTGCCAAATTAAAAGAAACTTTGGAAATTTAGTGACAAAATTACTCATAAAAATCATAAATAAATGGCAATTCATCGCTTCATGGATTATCATTGTAAACTGGGCAAAATTCATAATTTTTGGCTTCTGAAACGGAGACTACCAAATTATTTTATATATAAATTTTTATGTATATATTTATATATATAAATATAAATTTATATATAAATATGCTGTTCAGCATCTAATAACATGCCTTCTACTATGGTTACTAAAGCTTCCCTCAAAAAGTCTACAAACCTAAAGCAGGGCTTACTTAAGCTTTGGCTGCTCTTTGATTACTACTAAACTAGGTTCATTTTTAAGAGACACCATAAAAACCAAAAGCCTAATGATACATTACCAGCTTCTTCCTATACAGTACAGTTCCTACTAAGAGTTATCTGAATAAGTACAACAATAAAAGTAGAAATACATTAGATGATAATCAAAACAAGTACAGACGTAAATTTCATGAGGAATTCTAGCCAAAAATTTTACAAATCAGTACTTAAGTATTTGCTTTGAGTTTGTCAAAGAGAATTGTAACAATCATTTTTAACAAAAATCACCGGCAAGAAAATAATTCAATACAAATGCTAATAATATGCATTTCATTACTGCTTGAGAAATCCCACATGTAAAGCTGATATCCTCAATCTAATTTTTATCACCTTTAAGAAAACTGCAAATTTACTCATAACTGTTAAATAGAAAGAAAAGATCAACTTATTTTGGAATTAAACAATCTATCAGGACTTGGGAAACATTCACTTAGGTATTGGCACAAAGTAAAGCTTGGCAAAAAAATTGTATTTTCTATCTCAGTCTCTTCTTGATGAAATACAGGCAATAATACTGCACAGGAGAGCTTTTCAAATTAAAGTTATGAAAATCATGTCAATATAAAAAAAAAAAGATTTTTACAAAATTTTTGTTGATAGATGTTTATTATATTTAGAAATGCACATAAAATCTTTGCTATTCAGAAATATCTTGAGAAAGACTTAGTCTTGAGATGAATTATATGAAAATGTATTATTCCTTAAAAGTCTTAATGTTTGTAATGCTGACATTGCTCAAAGAAACATTACAATAAAATAAATTCAAAGAGAATAGACAAGAAAAAACAGACTATTCTTTAAAAACTATGTTTTCTGTAAAATTGATTTTGTCATATATAACCATTAGATTAACTATTGATGTATAGTTACTCACAATGATGCCAGCAAGATTTCCTTCCAGACTGCTTTGCATTTTCAGGTGTTATTATACTGATGAACAGTTTGAGCCCCAAAACTATAGAAAATACTCAAATCTCTATCAAATAGTAAAGAATAACTAACAGTCCTGCTACAAATAACTAGATCGGACTGTTGAGTATATTATACTGTTAAATATAACTAGATCAGACTTGTTCTACGCACGTCACTTCCTCTAACAATTACTCTCTTCTCCACCCACAATTGATCATCTCTCTCAAATTTCTGTCAGAAAACAAAGTAGGTGGAAAATACAGGAAACAATGAGAAATAGTTTCAAGTTCTCATGAGGTTCTCAAGGTTGGCAACTCTCTCAATGCGGTGCAAGTTCAAAAACCACAGGCAGCCTCTTTAGCAAGGGTTGAGTTCACACTGCCAATTTTACCTTGGCTCAACAAGGCAGAGAACAAAGAGAGAGGAACAAGAGAGTGAGGACATTCTAATGCCTTCCCTCTGCCTGTCAGCATGATGTGACCTAAAAGTTTATGACTTGCCATAGTTAATTCTCCCCTGTGGAATCTGGACAGAATCAGCCAGCTGGTTACAAAATTCTCGAAGAAATCATATATATATATAGCAACTTGGGTTCATTCCCTTAGAAAAACAGCTTTACCAAACAAATCTTTTTGGTAAAAAAGAGAGCTGAAAATAAAAATCTTACATCTTTCGAGTAATTACTAGAGCAGGCCTGAAGAACATGAAATCCTAATATGTCCAAAGGCACTCAGTTTTACAGTATGTGCTCACTAGGACTGCATCCACTTGACGGTAGTGTGCTTACCTACATTAAATTATTAGTAAGTCCAATTCCTAGCTGTATCATGTGACCTTCATAGAAATCTCTTAAATGTTGCCTTATCTCAAGGCCACATCCCTCCCAAGGGTTACAGTGCAATTCCCATCCATTTGGGCATACCTCTTAAATACTTCAAAGGAGAGGTATAGTGGAAAATTGAATGAACAAGTGCACTGGATCTATGTTGACCTGAAGCCTGAGCAGATCAGACAACTCCATATTGTCCTCCTGGCAAAAGGATTTCTAGGAAGTCACTCTAATGGCTCTGCCCAGCATCAGATAGGCATGCCTGGGCTCATTCGCTTGATCACAGAAGCAGCTGGATGGGATGAAACCAAAATATTTTAATTTTTCTCAAATGAGGCCTTGTTAGAAAAAAGTTGGGAATCAAGACCTAAAGTTTTCCATCACCCTACACTATTTTCATTTGGTGAAGAGATGATGGTTGCAGTCATTCAGTTATCTATTTTATACAGAAACAAAAAATCTGAACAAGGCAAATTATTTGCTGATTTAGCACACTCTATTAGCATGAAATCCACTTCTCAAAACATTAATTTTAAAAAGTCAGCAAATACACGGCACGTATGTAACTGGACTAGTAAATGTATTTAATTGCTTAATCTACATATTCCTCACCTTGAAAACATGTTTTACATGTGCGAAATCAAAAGACATTTGCAGTGTTTCAAGCAGCTTCATTGTGCTGTCTAAATCAATCTTCCCAGTCCTGAACTCATTCTGAATGATGGACAAAAACCACGTATGAGAGATCAGGTTAAGGAAACTTGTCGCCCATGTCATTGCCTTTTAATAGGTGGGGAGGGGGAGAAGTTTAATTTTCTTAAACCTAACAAACTTGCACTTTGCGTTTCTCGTACTCTAGAACGTCCTTGTCTTCTGATAATGAAGCAGGCTCTGAGGCACACAGGAAGACGTTTTTGCTCCACTCCCAGAGCCTCTGAGGGCAAACATGACAAAAAGGGCCAGAGAAGGAGAATAGAGGGGGTGGAGGAAAACGAGGGGTGGTGAGGGTCAAAGAAAGGGGTGCAGCGAGAGGAGGGAAATGTGGGGAGTCCGAGGGGATTCAGCAGCTGTGGGGAATGGCGGGAAGAGAAGTACCAACCAAAAGCAACAACGAGGTGAGGGCACCCAGCATTGCGCCCACCCAACCAGCCTCAACCAGCCAGGACCAGGCCAGACTGGACTGGCTGCCCCAGGCCCTCCCGTGACACCCATCTTGGGGGTCCCATGCGTGCACAGGCCAGGCCCGGGCCTAGGGGGGGAAAGAGGCATGCAGGGGGAGGTCACACGATGGCAGTTGTCACAGGGCAGGGAGAGGAGAGGAGAGGAGGAGGAAGAGGAGGTAGAGCAGGAGGAGGATATCTGTTCTCCTCCATGGCAGCTCTGCATCGCCTGCTCCGGTCTCTTCACTGCAGTGACGTTGGCAGCATTTGGCAGGACATCACCTCAGTTTGCTCTAGTTCCCAGCGGCGTCCTTTCCCTTCCCTCCCACCCCCTCACCCCTGCCAGGGATGCCCAGCAACCTCTCAGCACAGTGCCCACCCTTGGCCCCCCCACCGGCGCTTCCCCAGCTGCCACTGTGAGGTCACAAACTGCGGGCCCCCAGCGCAGGCCCCTTCCCACCACTGCTCCCCCCCCACCTCTGCCACCATCTTGTGCCTTTTCCCTCCAGCACAAAGTGGCCCACATGCTCTCCCCTCGCCTGCGGTCTCCCACCCTTTGGATAGCCCTCACCCTCAGCATGCAAGGAAGGAGCTACATGAGATGGAGAAGGTGTCTCTCATTTGCGGCCTGCTGTGCCAGTCCCCTCCGGGGGAGTTCAGCCAGGATGTCCAAGATGTCTCTGCTCTGGTCCAAGATGACAAGCTGGTGAGGCAGGAGGGTGCCCACGTGGGGGTCTGTCACAACAAGAATGACTTCATCCCCATCCAAATAAACAAGCCCACTGCACTACTAACCCACTACAATGACTTAGGGGGAAGCTGCTTCTTTGACCCTCAGGACAAATTCTCGTTTGTGTTTGACCACCTGTGTGGGGTAACCAGCAAACCCCATTGGCAGGGTGTGATGCTAGATGAGGGGCAGCTGTGTCAAGAGGCCCTCCATGAGCTGCTATTTCCTTTGGGAAACTGCTGTGTGTTCAAAAAAAGCCTGGGGAAGAAGCAGGTGTTTGTGTCTTGCATTGAGACTCAGCAGTACCAGCCTTCAAATCACTGGAACGGCCTTTGGAATTCAGACTGGGCTTTTGCTCTGACTCCTTTTACCACTCAGGTTACAGGGATCTTTCTCCTCCAGATACACATCTTCAGAGATGCCAGCCTCCATGTTACTATCAGCAAGTCTGGGAGCGAGACTCTAAATGTGATAGACCAAAGTCAGCTTGCCACAGATTTTGCGAAACTTGTGAAAGCTGAGGATACCAAGTCTCATGTTGCCATTCTGGAAAACATTCAGGCTTTGTCAGGAGATATATGGCGAAAAAGTCTGTGGAGGACCCTGTCACTCACACTTTCATGAATTGGAATAAACTACTGAATGATCAGCATCTGAACACCAATGTCTCCAATATAGAAATGCCTCCATGCACACTATTTGAAATGGTCTAAATAAAAATAAAAATTAAAAAAAAAAAAAGAAAAAGACAAAATGAGGGTGTTTAATTGATTTATTTCTGGATTACTCAGGACAGTGGAGAAACTGTCATCAGTCAATCACCACTTTGAAAATAACTCAGGTCTGAAGGGACTGAAAATAATATGCTGGGTTTATTTATTTTCTTCATGTACATTTCAACTGCTGCTAGAGGTACTAGTAATGGTCATTGTCAAATGCAGTACAGTGCCACAGGTGAGCCAGCAAAATCCTTTCCTTTGTAATTTTACCCATTATATTTACTTAATAACTTCATACTATATGTAGCATTAGTTATATGGAAATCAGTAAGGTAGGTTGGCAAAGATATTGAAGCATTATTTCTAGATTTTTTCATTGATACTAAAACCCAGGAAATTCAGCCTTCAGGCTTTGCTTGCGCATACCTCTCTGTATGCACAAGAGACATCCCTAAGAGACATGAACAAAGGGAGATCAGTACACAGGAGGAACAAATTTCTTATAGCTCATGCAGAAGACATTTCAGGACTGACCACGGATGTATGCTGGGTGTTGCAGCATTACAGAATAAAGCAATGCTACTTCCCTTCTCCCAGTGTTTATTACAAATGCCAAATGAATGTATGTGATTTTGGTTTACTTTCAAACTATTACAGTGGAGCTTTGCTAACATGTTTATTACAATAAATGTAATGCCTACTACACTTGCTGTTTTCTGTAAACACAACTCTTAATTAGAGTTTTATTAGTAACAAAGTATAATTTCAAGCAGTAATGTAACCTCTAAACTTTCTAAAAATATTGATGGAAACATATAACATGATTCTTATAAATATTAGATATTTTTAATGTAATTATAAGACTTTGCTTTTGTTCATCACTGCTGGTGGCAATTACATTGTCACATGGATTGAACACGCCCTTTTGTAAATAATGATCAGAGCCTTTACGGCTTCAGTGCTCAGACTGGCCATGATTGCTTACATTGTCTTTGTTTTAAAATGCAGGAAAGAACTATGCATTGTTATGGTTTGGGGGATAACCAACATTGTGCGAGAATGCCATCTTCAGATTATTCTTCTGATGCAAAATGAAGATTTTGCATCTGTACTTATACGTGATTTGGGAGGTCCCTTACTATATACTTCTGGATACAATAATTAATTACCCAGAGAAACCAATAACGAAAAGGTGTCTAATATAAAAGCCATCATCCTACATCATTCTATATTGTTGATGACAAAGTCATATGCTCAATTTTTATTTATAAGCATACTAATTTACAAAGCCTTATTGCAGAAGATGAGGTTGTAGTGTTGCCAATATTTGAATGAAACTGAAATAAATGAGATAGTTCCTTTGATATATACTGAATTTCTTCAGATTTGCATTCACTAGAGCACATTTTTCATCTGGTTGTTCATCTTTATGGTCACTCAGCACAAAGATTCTGGGAGTGTTGCACTAATTTATGTGCAGAAAGGCGCTCATCACACAGGGTTTCCTTCCCACAAACAGAAAGCATGCTGCTGCACTTGTTACAATGTCCCTTGACAATGCCTTTTACAGATGCCCATTTGCTAAAGAATCTGCACCATGCACTTGAAGAGGAAGAAGTATGGAGCATGGAGAGCATTTTCTGCGCTCCTTCGATTCTTCAGAGAAAGCTGCATTACCTATGGGTCATTCTCTTTTCACCCCACAGCTGCTACTGAGATCCATCCAATACAGCCCTTTTAGTGCCTATGTTGCTGCTGGAGACTATTCAATGAGCAAGCAGCTGTCTTTACGTGGTATTTATTTGAATATGTGATTATTTCTTTATTGAAAATCAGAGTAATTTTATGAAAAACATTATGCAACCCAGAGCTGCTATAATGAAGATGGCCTCTTGTGAGTGTAGTTCATGTCTGCAGTAAAGAATAATAGATGAAATTTTGGACATAAATTTAAGTGCTAACAGAAACAGGGACATAGCACTAGAAATTTTGGACTGTCAAAAAAGTACTTTCTTAAAACACAAATATTGAACATGAACTAACAGTAAGAAACAGTAGGGGTCAATGGAAAAGACCAAGTAGTTAGTTAGATGACTTTCATTTTCAACTTTTATTCCACCAGATCAATCCCTTATGAGATGAAAAAATATGACATTTTGCAATATACTGTTCTGTTCTGTAGAATTAAATTTTCTCTTCTTTAAAATGGAGTTTCTGTACAGCAAAACTGCAGCAAGGAGTGCAATAAAAAAAAAACATTTAATATTGTAAGATTAGGTAGCTTTCCTATCTTCCCTATCAGTCTACCTTTATGAACTTTCTCTATAAAAGACACAACCTGTGATACCAGAATCTGCAACAAAACCTGCTCAGAGGGATGGAGTTTGGACAGATTAAATGTTCTGATCTAGCTGAAAACACTTACTTATTTTTTGTAAGGCCTATGAAATGAATCTAGAAAAGGTAATATCAATACAGGTTTTGTCAATGTTCCCTTTACATTCTCTATTATGAGACTCGAATCTTTTTTTTCTTGTGGAAAGTTGAAACTTGGGGAGGAAGAAACATTATGAGAAGAAAGCAAAGGTGTACAACTCCATTGAAAACTTTACTGACATTTTACATATAGGCTTTTGTGACTGAATATGTTTGAGATTTAGTTGCAATTTCTTACTCTTTTGCCCATACCAACATTTTTTGTTGTATAGGGAATACATGTTATTTTTATTCCTAAAATCCCCCTCCTTTTCTGTCTACTGCTTTGAAAATCATTCACATTCTTATAGCTTCTTGTGAATCCATATCTTTTTATTGGCATCAGTAGCCTGTATTTTAAGAAAAGAAATGAAGAATAGGCATATATAAATAAAACAAAAAAAAAAGTCAAACTGTTACTTAGAATAGGTTTCTCCTGCGGCCAGGAGTATAGCATACCTAGAATTGAAGCTATATCTACCTATTTACAATCACAACGATCTACTGTTAAAGACTTGCTCTGTGCCTGCAAAAATACATTATCATCGAGTATCTTTCTGTAATATGCTTCTAATAGTGCTTTCTCCTTCTTTTTATCTTTGGTTGTTACTGAGTGGCCATGGTTAGTTATCTCAAGGAGAAGATCACCTACTCTATCAGTTCAGAATATTTACGCGATGACATGTAATTTTCTTTCAAAATGAAATGTGGATTTCGTTGAAACTCTGCTCCTCCATTTACAGGCTTGCAGACTCATTGGAATCGTAAAGTTGGTACAAATGGACCTGAGCCAAATTGGCTCAAATTTTTTATTTCTGAAAATAATTTTCTATCTACCATTAATTGTTGGTGCAAAGAAAATGATCATTTTTATTGCACCAGTAACATTAAAGCTTAGCTTGGACTTCATTGTCAGCTTCCAGCTGCATTAAAATTGGAAGAAAATCAACACTTAGTATTTGGATTGAATATTTAATGTTCACATTATAAAGTTTGCTTCATGTTTTGCTAGTACTGCAGCAGGAGGAAAACCTATCAAAATGAGGATGCAGCAAAAAAAGTTTCATCATTTCATTTTCAAATATATTTGCTGAATTAAAAGCAACTTTCTTTGTAGTTTCAGAATAGATAGAAAAGTCTTTAACAGGCACTAAAGACTCAAGTTATCTCTTTGCAGAAACCAAGGTCTATCAATACTCCTAGTCATTGGTAGAAATTCATCTTTTCCCCCTTACATTCTCCAGAAACAGTACTAATTCTTTCTTTGTTTCATTCATGAAATGAAAAAGACAATATTGTGAAAAAAAAATCCAAACAACAACCCACTGCTATTTGTTTGTTACCCAGGCTGTAGTCTGTATTAAAATCTCTGCTGTATTCCTTACCCACTATTCCTTGTCAAGTTGTGGAGTAGAAAGGAAAACATGATTTTGAAACAGAGGAAATAAAAGGGAAGGAAATACAAAGAATGTTCTGTCAAGTGTATACCTCTCACTGGTTTCAAATAATCAATGTATTAATGCTCCAGTTATAGTAAAACCAAATTCAAGGATTATTTTCCCTTCTACAGCAAAATGGTTTAAGTTCAACAAATCTGAAAAAACGGATTTATTACATTCCAAGTGCAAGATATTTTCCAAGTCTATATGCCAGTATGCCACTCTTATACAAATAGTGTATTTTATAATTCTTTTTAATGAAAGCTTTGGAGTTATTAAAATGTGCAGTGGTTTCAAAAGTCACTATTTGAAAAACCAACCATTATGAAATAATCAAAACATAGTATCCCGGGTTTCTCCAAAGTTAGAAGAGCTTTTTTGTTACAGTAAGGCTTAGGAATTGTCACCATACAAAACTGAGGGAATAAGAGACCTAATAATAATAAAAAGAGATGACCCATGTTATATTAAGTAATTTATGTAGCAGAGTATCTTTGAATGGGACAGGAACTACTACACATCCTTAAATTCATGCCCAGTGTCTAGTATGACATTAGAGGAGGACTAGCAACCTGGAACAGGAGAGATAAGGGAAAGGACATAAGCGGGGGGATGCCGAAGAAAAATGTGAATAAGGCACATTCACAATTGGAGAAAGGAAGAAAAAAAAGACCAATATTATAATTCAACTGTTCTGGAACTAGAGGAGACTGTTCAGAAGTGTAGGACTGAAATCTCAGCTCCTCCACTGCCTTTCCTTCCTTAACTTTTGGATAAGATATTGAGTACACTGCTGCTCATGTAATTTCAGTGTTATCTGTCTTCTGAGACATAGCCTGTCCACCAAGGAGTTAGACTTTATCTCAAATGCATGGTGCAGGCTGTACTAAGTCCTATACACACAAAGAAGATGAAAACAAGTTTGTGTTCTCAGTCATGCATGTTCATGACTGGAGATTGTCACAGTGGCTCATTCTGACATTAGTTCTCCAGGCATTCTGCCTGGGCACATGGTGGACCGCTCATTTCCTATGGCTCATTTTTTTGCCCACATGCCCACATTTCTTTCCCTTGGAAGTG